CAAAGCAGGTTTAAACGGTCTCTATAAGCTGAAGCCCATAAAAAATGGCCGGATAGGGTGGAATGTTTTGCTGCAAATGTTTGTAACAGACAGAAGAAAACTTCTCCGACCCCGTAAATATATTTTGTATCATATATTTTTCGATATATTCTTTTACTTAAGTAATAATCGATAAATATCGACTATGACTTTTCGATATATTCGTTCACTTTTGTAATAATCGTTAAATATAAATAACTCCAAAAGCTTAAAACATACTTTAAAATAACGATTTTGAGACTCATCTTTTTTTCGATATCTTCTTTCACTTATGTACTAATCGACATATATCGACTCTGACTTTTCGATAACTTCTTTCACTTAAGTAATAATCGATAAATATAGATTTTTACACTCGTTCCTGAAGTATTATTAAAAAATAATAGGAGCTATATAAACCAAATTTGTTATGTGGGCATAAATTGATTAAAAATATCGTACCTGTTGTATGCCTCCTGTAGAGCTTTGATCCTTGGCTTACAAACGCAGCTTGATGCCCTATTTAAGGCTTAAACTATACTTCTATTCAAGATGAACAGTTGAGCGCTGCATTTAGGGTATCTACCAGTCGGGCACAATCGAATAAATTATTCTGATTTGCTTACAATGTTTCGAAACATCGAACTAAATTGAAACTGAGTCCCCGTTGTTTAGAAGTTCACTTGAATAAATGATATACTGTAGGGCTAATTATGTTATATATTATTATTTATTTCATATTCCAAGCCGAATTACCTTCTTTATTCGCATTCCTCCAACTTCACTCTAAACTCTTTGGCTATCTGAAAGTGCAACTGTCAACTCTGATAGTTCCCACAATAATTCTCGATTGGTGGCAGATATCTAAATCATATTTAGCTGGCAATTTATGTGCGGTACTTAGGCAAATGATCGGAGTGCACACTTAAATGGCGTTAATGTCTCTGTAATTATCGATATGCTAACAAAATTGCAGCTACGACACACGCTGACGGATCATTAAGAGTCGCAAAACGTGCCCACTATAATATCATTCATGCAGGTAAAATAAATAAAATAAAAAAATTAAAAATGAAAAAAAATAAGAAGCCAAGACGTGTGCGCGCTGCCTTATGAATAATTTAATAAAATACTACTAAACATTGCGAATAGTCGCAGGTGCCCCGCACAGCGAACACATGTAAATTGTCAATTAGTCTGTTTATAATGACAGACCGACAGACATTAAATTGACTTTCAACACGGGCCACAAATTTTGGACAACCAAGAAAAAAAAACAACCCAACTTGCAGTTATTAGACAGATATACGTTATATATCAAATACTCAATAGTTTTTGAATATAGAAAAACTCGAAATGCGCTCAATTGTTGCAAGTTTTGGCTAATAAATGATATTATGGTTCCGTTACGATGGGATTTTCTTAGATGCTGGGAGTTTATAGCTAAGATATATGCTTAAGATTAAAATATCTTGAAAATGAAGAAAGTTTCTTTGTACTAGAATTTTGACTGATCGTTCCTATGATAGCTTTATAAGGCTCCGATCATTAAGAGAGCTTTAAAACTGAGGGATTTGTACAGTAAATATATCGACTCTACTGATCCAGATATATATATATATGTATATATAATACATATATACCTAATGGCTTCGCAAGGGTCATAGCAGAATGAATATACCCTTCGTTAGGGCATAATAAATCATTTTTATAGCCGACTCGTTGAAGTTTGGAGGAGTTATACAGCTCGTTAGTCACATGACATTGCAAAAATTGAAGCACACACACACACACACACACACACACACACACACACGGCAAATCAAGCGGAAATTCGAAATGAAAATGAAAATTTGCATGCGAATTGTTTAGACAATGCAATTTATAGCCCCCAAATCAAAAAGTTTGTAAGCCAAATTAGAGTTTGCATTCACAAGGTTCGATAAATTGAGCATAGCTACGATCTAACCGATACGAGAATTGATTGCGTAATTATTAGAAAAACCTGAGATTGTTCCAATTTGCGCAACAATAGCTCGGTATTCTGTTTATTAATGGGCATTGGCACTGCTTCAATTCTAGACTCATTAGAATTGAAAATAGGCGACTGGAAACCCATTTTACAATAGGAATTTACCCAAATTCCCATATCAACAAACTACCTAATTTGTTTATCATATTCGAATAGCTTTATTAGCCACATTGAAATACCCCACTAAAACCAGATGGAAATCAACGTGTTGAACTAAAAATAATCCCGTCTTCTTGTTTGTTACTATTTGCCCATTAAAAATGCGGGAAAACGGTAGCTTACACAGTTGTTAGTTTGCGTACAAACAGTGGGAAACATTGCTTAACTTATTAATTAATAAGTTCCAAATGCGACTGTCTCTCTATTTGTCTGTCTATTAGAGCTAGAGAGACACATTTTATGGGTAGCTTCTTTATTTATATGCTTGTGCGTTTAACAAATCCTGCTTTCTCTCTGTTATGCCAATCGCCCCTCTATGCAATTCTCATTGATCTCAAATAGTACTTACAAGGATCTCATATGATTTTAAATAACTTTAATTTACTGTGTAGAGAAAAGTTTTTCACTATCTCAATTTCGTATTCTTTGAGTAGCTTTTCAGCTACACTCTTTCCTTCATTTTCTCTCTCTCTGTCTCTTTTTCTTACTCTGACTCTCTTACGCTCACACTCACGTATATGCTCCCACTCTCACTTATATGATCTTTTACGCCCATTCGCTTCCCCTCCCACTAGCTTTCATTTCTTTTAAGTTGCCTTTCTATGCGATTTTCAAAACCGCAAGTAAGTCCTAGAGGTTTCAGGTTATATTTCTTGCAGACAAATAGGCAAACATAGAAAGATAGACCTCGTATACGATCTTATTGGAGTATAAAATAGGTTATGTTACATCAAATTGTACTATCTAATACAAATATTTTAAGCTCGGGATTAAAAAGAGACATATTGCTAGACTTTCAGTTTGACGTATACATAATACGCATACGACATGTTAGCCAGTGACAACAAAGCATTTGAGCTCAATGAACAAAAAAAAATACGTAATAATAATAATAAAAATATTTTGATAGCCACATGCATGACATGCCAAAAATGTTGCAATCACATTACCTTAATTATAAAGACAGACACTCAGCCATGTGATGAATATATAAATACGCATTTAACACCTGCAATTGACCACATCAAAGTGGCAGCACAATAAAGACAATGAGCCAAGCTATGGCCGGGAGAAGGCTTGGCCAATTCGGGCCTGATCTTATATAGATTATATTAGCGCAATCAGTTCACGAATGTCTGTTCGTTAAATTTAGAACTCTCGGTTCACAGCTCAATCAAGGGTACAACAAAATAAATAAAAAATATAATAATTAAACAAAAATAAAACAGGTTCACCGCACAGTTAACCGCAAATTAGCCAAGAGTTATTTTGTAATTTTCCAATGTGACTAAGCTATATCGGCATATAAATTAAATTATGCACATATGTAAAAAGTTTCATAATAAAAAAAATATTTAAAAAAAAAAAACCCTATCACGTGCTCATCGGCGACAATTTTCAACAATCAAAGCAAAACGCGCACATAATAAAAAAATGCTGGCAACTAAACAAAATAATAGCAACAAAGAAAATAAAATAAACGGTGGAAATGTTGGCAAGTCAATAAACCAGCGTGTCGCAGCCAAAATAACTTAATAAACAATATTTATAAATATTTTAAAAACTTATATATTTATGTGTCTGCGCTTCGCTGTCTGCCAATTGACAAGAGCGCACGCCCGCCAATGTAAACAAAATCGCAGAACACAAACAAAGCTGGCGAAAAGAAAACAAGAGATTACAATAAAAGCACGAAAAATGAAAAACAACAAAGAGCTACTCGAAGTATGTATTGCCGGCACCGTCAATGCAAACACACCCAACGCAACTGACCTCCGCCTCCGCCTCCATCTCCGCGTTCATCTCGAGAATTCCGAGTGTCGCATTGAAATGCCTGCAATAGTGCCTCGCGCTCTGCGAGAGTATTTGTATGGCAAACAGATAGCAGTCGATCTAGATATATCTTACCTCCTTGACAAGCAGCAAATATTTGCCATAGTTGAATGAGTGGCATTTCAAGAGGAGCTGCTTGCTATGGATGTCAATTGAAAGGGGGCGGCTTTTTGCATAAGTGCAACAAACTAGATAATAATACATCCATTGTCACTTCAATCAGTCCCTATAGCATAGCTTAACATTAAAGTTCATGTTAAAATACAACAACATGCTCGTTACATGCCGCAGCCAACTTAACGTGCCAATAAACTGTTTTAAATGCTGCCAAATTTAATTAGTGCAATTAACGAAATTACTTGCAATGTGTGAAATTAATTAAATTAATATGACTCCATATAAGTATGTGAGTTGAAAATCCCTTAATACAACTTTAATCAACAACTTAGCGAAACGCTTTCTCGTTCCGGAAGCAGCGTGCAAAATTGACCTCTCCCATCAGCCCAACTCCAAACAGGCAGCCGGAAAGCGGCGACTGTGACTGACCGGCAATAAACCATTCACAAACATGTCACGATACCAAAGCGCTGTTCCCTTCTCTGTTTTGATCTCTCTGTTAAGCGGCTGCTAAGTGAGAGAGAGTAGACAGTGAGTTTGTGAGAGAGCGGGTTTTCTTTGACCACTCACATACACACACACACACGCAAACAACTGTTTGCCTAATCCGCTCGTGTGGAACCGCCGCAGCGAATGCAAATGTTGCCTCTGCATACACCTTCATCTGCCTTCACACACACATACACACACACACACACATATATGCTTAATCAAACGTAGCGCCAACGTCACTGCTGGCTTCGCTGCCCGCCGCTGCTGCCGATATCCATACACAGTTTTAGCTTTTGTTATGTCCGGCACTTGGCTCGCTCGTGCTTCGTGCTCAGTTGCGATCGGCAGCAGGCAACAACGGAACTGGATTCAGTGGGCAAAGCCAGCGCCTGCCTGAAAGAGATTGAAATTTCGCCGTCCTACGTTGCCTTTATTCTAGTTGTGCGCGCTCTCTCTCTCGCTCTGGCTGCCTTGTTCGGTTCGGGTTCAGGTTCAGCACACACTGCGTATACGTTACTCTGCCCAATACGCCTGCCATATGTATATAAAGTGCAAACAGCCGCGATGTTTGCCATTCATTGTTTGCACAAGGGAAGCTAAAGCTCGCGGAGGCCGAGCGCGACACCTTAACTAAAACTAAAACCAAAACAACCACCAGGATTAATTCCAAAAACATTTTCATTATATCAAATCACGTTATTTTGTGAATGTGTCTGTGATTTTATAATTAATTAGCATTATTTGCAACTGTCAAAGCTGTGAAGTGTTTCAGCTGTGTTTTGTGCGCAAAATCAAGAAAGAAAATAACACACAAAAAAAAATAAAGGCAACAATAATAAATATAAATACGTTGGCAAATAAACAAACGCCGCAAAAGCAGCAACAACAACAACAACAACAACAACAACAAAAATACCAAAGAAACGCGCGCGCCAAAAAGCAAAAACAATATTGCTTAAAGCAAAAACAGAGCTAAGGGATTTTTCCTATATTTTTTAACATTTTCTCACGCCTCACACAAGGAATTTAAAAAAAAAAAACCAACTACGAAATCATGGAGGTTCAAAATATGCGCGAGCAGCCGCTGCTGCAGAGCAAACGCCACATCCTTGACTCCAGATGTGCGGTAAGTGTGGCATACTATATAGATGCATATATACTATATAGTAGTTGACTGGTTGATCGACCCCCAAATCCGATTTATAAACACAGTAATCGATTTGTAAACACAGTTCGTTTGCGTGGGTTTCACACTCAGTGCCAACGCGGGCGGGGATGGGGATGGGGCTGGGGTGGGGTGGGGAGGGGAGGGGAGAGGCAGCCCTATAAATATCGAGTGTGCCAAGAATAGCTGCGATCGCGCCAAAGCGAAGAATAATGCAAACGTAAACATTTAGTCTAATACGTAAGTGCATAAATCCAGAGAGGGGCTGGTGCAAAGTATTTGATATTTTAAAGCAACGATCTTGTGAATCCAATACTACACTAGACTGCAAGTCTTGGGGAAAGGGAATTTCTTTCATTTTGATTGTAGACTCGCTTCTATGCTTCTTGGCAGCAGTTTCTCTCATATAACTATATTTAAATAATGTTTACATTTATTCAGGCTTGTTTTCTCTATAGGAAAAGAAAATTAGGTTTAACTTTATTTGCACAGGGAAATAGAAAGAAATATGAGAAACATAAAAGTCTCAGTTGTCAGTTTATGTAACAGTAACTTCTCTCCAGAATGTAAAAATTACAACTGAAACCATTTTACTTTTGCTAAAAATGAAAAAAAAAATATTGTTCATGATAAATTGCAAATTTCTAGTATATAAATTTCAAATAAATAAACACAATGTTATTAAGGTCCTTTCTATGGCAATCAGTTCACAAGTAAGTCTGCTTTTCCCTATGAAAAAATGTCATGGTAGTTCAAAGAGAAAAAATCCCTTAGTTGGGTAATTATAATCTCTACAGCGTGGGTAAAGCCTAGCTTAAGCTAAAATTTCCGCTTATTTAACGGCGAATGCTTGGAAATCCGAATCAATATATTCCATGAATTTTCAATTCAAAATTCTTCAAATCTTGATTTTGTACTTTCCTTCGTTATTAAATAAATTTGAATTTAAAATTTAAGAAAAAAGCATTAAATTGAACTTTGGCTCATTAAATTTGCAATATACTAATTACGCTAATACTATAGTTTATAGCCTATATAATTATTTTCCCTTTCTTTTCTGTGCAACAAATCTAAAGTATTTTTACTACTACTACTTATAGTATAGAATAATTACACTGTGTAATGTTTGTTGTATTCTAATTTAAGTATATATGTTTGTTTGATTAGAACTACTTTAAATATATATTTTTAGATAAAGGCGGGTTTCTCCTAATAACAGCTATATAGTAAGCTATATAGTATTTAGTGCTATATATAGTTTTAGCTATTTTCTAATAATTTCTCATATTTCTGTTATATTCAAAACTTTGCCCTAGACCAATATTTGTTCAGCCGTTTCGCAAGTATAAATATTAATTGTTCGACCATAATTTATGCGTTGTGTCAAAAATGTACATGAAAAACAAATTCAAATACTGCCCGCTTGGCTGGCCATGGAAATGGCTGTGTGGAAATGCAAGTGAAAAGTCGCCGTCGACGTCGACGTCGTCTCATGGCGCACATGTGCTTCAAATTAAAATGTCTGGCTTTCATCTAAGAGCAATAAATAACCATCATAAATCGAAACATACATAGAAATGTATATATATATATATACTTCCCATACATATGGCTGGATGGATTTTTAACGCTTTTGCTTCGTCTTGCATTTTTACAGCTGAACGATTTATATCCGATCGCCCGTCTGACCCAGAAATTGGACGTGCTCAATATGTCGTCGTCGTCGTCGTCCAATCTGGACAAGGAATGCTCCGTTACCATTGAGCTGGTGCGTCCCGAGGATGCACCTGAAGTTCTGGCCATGCTCAAGACATTCTTCTTTAAGGTTTGCTTTTATTTGTAATATTTTACTTTATTTTAACTTGTCTATCTTTAATATCAAATAATGTAAATTGATTCCAGCCCAATTATATATTGCTTGCTTATTCAAATTGTTTAATTATAATTGACCCAGGTGCTGCTGCAGTCAAAACAAAGCAAACAATTTTAAATAAATGCATAATAAATATTAATTAGTCTTAGCTAGAGATTGGCTTCATTGAATACACACTAAAACTCGATTTTTGCATATGCGACGCGCATTAATTAAATTAAATTAATTTTTGTGAATGTTTTTTTGCGGGTTTTCGTTTTGCCTTTTTTTTGTTTTGCTCACAAATGTGATTGAACTTTAATCCTTACCATAAGCTGATTCATAGGGAAGTCCCTTGATGAGACACCTGTTATGTTTACCTTTAACTGAAACATCTTTTTCTTGCGAATAACCAGTTTAAAGATCATCGACTAGTTGCCTAGTTGACGCTCGACTGCTCGATCAGATCAGGTCGCATAAAACGATCTGTCCGCGTGAGATCTGGCGAAACGCGTGACAAACTTCCACTCCAGTTAACGGTGCAAAATCCGTATTGAATTGCAATTAATTGGAATCTTGGAGCGTGACATATAATATATATATATATATGTATATGCCTCAAGTGTATATAAAACAATGCAAATTATGCATTCAAACCTGACTGACTGACTGACTGACTGACTGACCGACTGACTGACTGATCGACTGTGGCTCCGGTTCCGTTTTGCATTGCCATAAATTATGAATCAAAGCGCTGATCGAATAGATAAAATAACGAATGCGTGCGCATAAATCATTTTATTATAATTCGCATTTTGTACTCGTGTCTCGCGTAATTGCCTAAACAATTTGTACAAATTATACTATTTAACATTCCATCAAAGATTTCGTATGCAAGCATATTTTGTTATTCATATTTATATATTTTTTTGATTAAAACCTGATTGAATTTCTGTTTGCCAAATGTTAATTTTTTTTTATTTAATATTGTCACATAAACAGGCCCAGCCAGTTGCTGTACTTTGGGGAATCTGGTTTAATAGAGCCAGTTGTTTTTTTTTTCCTTTCTTTAACTATGTTTACTTCTTATTCTTGTTTTGCAGGATGAGCCACTCAATACATTTCTTGATCTCGGCGAGTGCAAGGAGCTGGAGCACTTCTCAGTGAAGCCCCTCAAGGACAACTGCTCGTACAAGGCGCTCAACAAGAAGGGAGAAATCATTGGCGTCTTTATCAATGGACTCATGCGACGACCTGTAAGTCGTTCATCATCATCTATCTACAATATCTTATCCAAAAAATCCCCCCGCTAATCCAATAAGTTATTTTCGTTTTAGTCAGCAACTGAGCCGGCTGATAAGTTGGCCGATCCCTGCGAACATCACAAATTCCAAAAGATACTCAGCCTAATGGATCACATTGAGGAGAAATTTAACATATTTGATTTGTATCCCAACGAGAATTGCATACTCGATGGCAAAATACTTTCCGTGAACAGCAATTATCGCGGCTGCGGCATTGCGGGCAAACTGACGGAACGGGCCTACGAGTATATGCGCGAGAATCAGATCTCTGTCTACCATGTGCTCTGCTCCAGCCACTATTCGGCGCGTGTTATGGAGAAGCTGGGCTTCCATGAGGTCTATAAAATGAATTATGCGGACTATAAGCCGCAGGGTGTTGCCATCTTTAAGCCGGCATTGCCGCATGTAGCCGCACGCGTCCTGGTCAAGGAGCTGGACCAGGATAAGCCCAAGTCTGTGTTGTAATTGCTGTCGCTTTGATGAGGCAATTATGCATTTCATAGAAAATATGTGATTTTTAGTTTGTAGCTCGGTGGCGGGATTTATGCATATTCAATCGAGAATCGTGCGCTCATTTCATTCTATTTTTGTGCTTTCAGCTCTTAATTAGTAGAAAAATATACAAGTACAATCTATAAAAAAATATTTATGTAATTAAATGTACCCATCGCGAAGTTAATTTAAGTGTTCAATTTGCTCAAATATTGCTAAATGAAAATAAATAAATAATATAAATTAAAACATAAAGTACGTTATCCTAAGTTAAAAACTTGTTTTATTTTTTGGAAGAGCAAACTAGATTGTCTACCCTTGCAGACCGAACATTTTTATAATACTCAAGATCTCTTGACCATATCTCAAAATATAGTGGTCTGATGTAAAAAAGATTTTGCATAAATGTAGGGAACATAGTAAAACTTATAAATGACGAGTTTGGTCAAGATATCTTGAAAAACAACAAAGTTTTCCATAGAGCAGCTTTATTTTCGACCGATCGTTCCTATTGCAGCTATATGATACAGTAGTCCGATATTGATGGGATTTCGTGTATATATATGAGACACATAGTAAAAATAATAAATGCCGAGTTTGGTTAAGACATCTTGTTAAACAAAAAAGTTTTTCATACAAGAACCTACTTTTCGACCAATTGTTCCTATGGCAGCTATACGATATAGTGGCCCGATATTGATAGGATTTTGCATATATACGAGGAGCATTGTTAAACTAACAAATGCCGAGTTTGGTCAAGATATCTTGATAAACAAAAAAGTTGTTCATACAAGAACCGACTTTTCGACCGATCGTTCCTATGGCAGCTATATGATATAGTTGTCCGATCCAGCTGTGTTTGACATATGTAATGCGTGCAACAGAAAGAAAGACTTCTGCAAAGTTTCATAAAGATAGCTTTAAAACTGATGTCTCCTTCTACCCTCCGCAAGGGTATAAAAAGTAAGAAAAGGACTAAGATAGCTTTAAATTACACAATTGCCTTTTAGTTCCTAGGCCTAAAAAGGTTATTCATTTAAGCGAGCTTCAGAAGCGCTTCTGCCCCACAATAAACAATTGCCCATCAAGTCCATACATAAAACATATCTATTTGAATACTATATACAAAAAATTTAGGCTAAACATGATAAAAATATCTAAATGGTTACTTGGCTGCTGCCCTGCCCAATGGATCCCTAGCCAGGCGGTCGACCATGCGTCGAATTTGCTCCTGATTGCCATATTTTTGTGCATCGGCAACAACAGCCGCATGGTGAGAGTTTGCCTCCGCTGAGATTTCATCTTGTACTTGACGGCTCAGCGCAAACGAATGTCTGGTAAGGTTTAAATATAATATCTATCTATATAAACAACAATGTGCCACTTACTTGACCGAGCTAAAGCCGAAGATTGCGCCAACAATGCCTAACGAAATTAGAAACAAAGCCACCTGCCTGTTGGAAACACGTTTCATGCCCCTGATGCCATAGTATGGGCCAGGATTTGGGTTGTAATTGGGCTTTACATCCCAGGGCTGAATTGTTTCACGTGCCCCGCCTGGAAACCACATCAAACTGTCGTCGTAATCCTTGCGCGTCGATGTCTTCACCAGGGTCTGATACGCGTCCGTTATTTTGACAAAGCGCGCTGTTTTCTCCACACTTGCGGCATTGCTCTTTACATCTGGATGGTACTATAAGAAAATAAGCAAAGAGAATTTCTAGATAGTAACTAAACAGCGACAGGCGCTTGCACTTGTTGCACCTGTTTGGAGAGTTTCAGATAGGCGTTACGTATATCCTGTTTGCTGCAATCGCTTTTAACATTCAGTACTTCGTAATGGGTCTCCGGCGTTTTTGTCTTCGAATTCGCTTTGTAGGCGAAACTGCGTGTTAAACAAATTTATACGTTAATTTATATAACCAAAACAAAGCAACAAGCGTCAAGCGTTACCTACTTACGTCTGCCGGCTGTTCCCTGGGCCGCTATAAAGGCTGGTAGTCGGAACATGCTTGATCGTCTCCCACTTTTCCCTTCCGCTGCAGCAGTTTATGTAAATAAACAACTAAATAAATTTTATTCCATTTGGTATTTTCCGAAAAATAAAATAAAAGTGTTGAAAAGCGTACTATCTCGACACAGCTGTCAATACAGCTGTAGGCGATAGTATCGCCTCATTTATTTTGCACATCTATCGATAGCCCGGCACAATCGATATTTTAGTCAAAAATCGCTGTCATGACAACCAAAAAATAGCGCTCTTTAAGAATAACAACAATCATAAAATAATAAAATGAGCAGCGAAAAAAAGGCAATGGAATTGCAATTCCAAGTGCGCCAGAACGCACGTGACTATCAGAACTCGGTCCAGGATCTGTTCTCATGGGAGAAGGAAATTAAAAGCAAAGAACAGGCAATGAAAAATGCGCCCGCACCAACCGTTCAGACAACCGTGAGTAGTCAGAAGAGGGGTTTGGTGAGATCGTCACGTTTATAACTACGCGCCTTTTTAGAACGCGCCGGTGCGCAGCCACGTGACAGAGGGAGATGAGACGAAGAAACCAATAACAAACAGTGCCACAGGTAGCCCCGGTGGCACAGCAGCAAGTACGCCGACCGAGAAACAGGACTTTCCGACGGACGCATTGGCACAGCTGCACAAAAAAGCTAATGATATTAAAGATCGTGGCAACAACTATGTGAAGCAGGCCGACTATGATAGAGCCATCGAAGCGTACACTGAGGCCATAGAGGTTTATTCTCAAGATCCGATTTACTTTATCAATAGAGCCTTATGTTATCTGAAGCTAGAACGGTAAGTGAAGTAGCATATGCATATTAAACAAGCCCAACTGATCTGTTCCTTATAGCTTTGATAGCTGCGTTGAGGATTGCGATGCGGCCATTGGGCTGGACAAGCTATGCGTTAAGGCCTATTATCGACGCATGCAAGCGAATGAATCGATGGGCAATAATATGGAAGCTCTCAAGGATTGCACCACTGTGCTTGCCATAGACCCCAAGAACATTGAGGCCAAACGGAGTTTGGAACGCATCAACCAACGTTTGCGCAAGATTGGTATTTAACTTAATAAATGTATATTGAGCTAAGTTAATTATGCCCAATTTACAGCTAACAAAAACGGTCCCAACTTTAGTGAAGCTCGTGACGATTTTGTAGATATCTTACCATTCGATAAGCCTGCTTATAAGCGCTCGAAGCAGCCCATGCGTCGTGTGCCTGTTGTGGACATTGTGTCGCCCCGGCCCAACCAGGATGAGCAAAAGCCATTGCGCATATCGGATGAGGAAATTGATAAGATTTTCAACAGTAATTGCGGACCTTTTGAAGAAGTGAAAAAGGCAAAAAAAGATAAGAATGTCACTAAGCCAAATTCCTTGAAAGCGAAGGAAAAATTAGATGTAAAAATTCAGGAAACTAAGCAACCCGCTGCACAGTTAAAAGTCACAGAAAATAGTACCAATTCGTTAGAAAAAAATGCCGTAATTGCGGCACCCCAAAACAAAAAACCTGAAGATACCTCTAATAGTAAGAATATCGTAGAAAAAACTATTGAAACTGCCTCACAGCAAACAGTAAAAGCAGAAGACTCCGATAAGACTATCCAAGCTATAGAAAAGATAGTTGAAGTTAAAAAAACTAATACATTAATTACTAAAACTGAACAAGAACCGCAAGTCACACAATCCGTCGTCAGCTCAATGGAGGTAAGTGAAATACTATAAGTTTATAGTTTCACAACTAATTATCCTTTTTTAACAGCGCATACCAGCTTCGCCAGCCGGCACAGCCCAGTTTTATATAACATGGAAGGAACTGTCGCCAAATCAGAAATATCATTATTTAAAATCTATTGAAATACCAAACCTATGCAAAATACTTGGCGCTGGCTTTGATTCGGATACATTTACGGATCTATTGCGCACCTTGCAGGATTTCTATGTGCCCAACAAGGAGCCAACAACAGCAGCAGTGCTACTGGAAATAAGCAAAAATGATGAATTCAATATCTTAGCCATGCTTATGTCGCAGGAGGAGAAAAAAAGTAGGTGGTAGTGTTTAATTTCTAAAATCATAAATTAATTTCAAATTCCATTTCTGCAGTGGTTGCTTTCATAATGGATGGCATTAAGAAGTTTCCTAAAAATAATCCAGACCTATTGGATAAACTTGGCAAGGCCTATAATGTAGCCTGAAGTTAAAAATTGTTATAAACAATAAACGTACTTCATTTGCTTCAGATTGTTAGCTCAAAAAGAAAAATGTTTTTGAAAATGTTAATTGCAAATAGATGTTTAAAACCTAAAAATTAAAAGTAGAGTGGTTTATATCTACATTCTATTTATCATTTAAGGAGGGATTTAGTCACACGTACAGCTCACACAGACGCCGACGCTTCCAAAGCATTGAAACTTAACGCTGTGCGTGCACTTATACATGTGCATTTGGCAGCACACACACATACAAACACACAGAGGACTTTAATTCGAAAGCTCAATTCACGTGAATGCTAATAACATAAATCCGAAACATTTCCAATGCAATGAATAATAAATATCAAGTTTTTGCTGAAAGTAGAAAAAAAACAATTCACATGTAAGAACGAGAACACGAACGTCACCCAGCCAAGCAATGAATATTAAATAGCAAATTGAGTAATATGAATTAGTGTAATTTACATAAATCAACGTATTAATTCAATCAGAGAAAGCTGCTACCCAAAATATATGTGTAGGCATGTGTATACATGTATTTTTCTTGTAAACTAACAGCTCCATTAAGTGATTTAAAGTTGAAATTATGCGCTGATGGGTTAACTGCAGCCTTACAACACCAGCTGAAGGCGAAAAAACATTTGAGCATCGAGTGCTAATCCCACGAACGGATCTCTGAGAACTCTCTGGCAGACCCGAGCCAGATTTGTGTCAGCGTGAGAGCCGACCGCTGCTCAGATGTACTTAGCAAATGTACCGGGTTTAGCTTAAGAGCCATTGTTGTTGCATATGCTAGTTATAATTTAATTTACATTACTTTTTTTGCTTCTTATCGTTCGTAAGCTGCGCGCATGTTGTGTTTGTGTCTGTGTGTGTGCGCGCATGTTCGGCTCGACGTAGTTGCCAGATGAGCGCAAAATGTGACGAGCGCACTGGCAACTCCGCGGCCGAAGCTAAGCTTCATTAAGCAGCAGCTGGAGAGGCAGCGAACGGAGCGCATGATCGCCCAGTTGCTGTTCACACTCTAACAGATTTAGATATCGCGCTCTGACCGAATGAGAAAATAATAAAAATAAATCCAATCAAAGTTACTGACGAGCAGCACACGCAAATAATAAGCGAGCGCCGTAATAGTTTCTAGTAAAATACATCGCGTATACGAAGCGTGAAACACAAAGCGATCAAATAAACGTAAACAATTACAGTTAAATACAAAATACCGTCAAACTAACGGAAATTTGTGTAAGTGTGCGTGTGAGCTGCGAATTTAAATGCAGTAATAATATAAAAATAAAAATACACATACAAATCGAGCTAAAGCAAACAAGTGTAAGCGAAAGAGAGAAAGCAACAAAAAGGAATACACAAATATAATACATTGTATTATGGAGAAAAATATCAAAGCAAACTTTGCGACTTGTTGAAAAACAGGAAAATTGTTGCAAATTAAGAAAAGCCATAAAAAATATGTGTGCAAGTGGGCAAAAGCAAAAGCTGCGTTTGCACATGTGTGCATGTGCGTGTGCATGTGCGTGTGCGTGTGTGTGTATGTGTCTGTAATGTAAACATATTTGTACACATATTCAAGCTTTAGCGGCAATGAATAACTAAAAAATGTGCAAATTATCAGCTAAAACAATGAAACTCCCACCGAAAACACAAAAAAAAAAACAAAAAATCACAGAAACTCGCGCAGCATCAGCACAAACACAAACAAAAAAAAATCTAAGCGCAGAACGAGATGCTGTGCGACAGAGATAGACTATGGCATACTAATACCAATCCAAAGCCACGTACAACGCTTACCTTTCATTTAAAAATAGTCAACAGCAAAAACAACAACACGCAAAACTGAAAGAATGCAAAACCAAATTGTTGTTGCTAGCTTGAAGCGGTGTCTGGCACATCTTTAAAAGTCTGTAAAGTGCCCGCCCACCTGCCGCACGACTTGCCTAATTTATGCTGCGTTGCCGGGGGGCGGGGCGAGGGGGGGGGGGGTGGTTATCTACACCCCTACAAACCGGAGTTAGCGTCTCCGTCTCCAAGTTCAAGTCGAAGCCGAGATCGCGGCCAGTTTACTTAGCGTGCGCCTCTTGTGCTCTTTATAACTGTTGTTGTTGTTGTTGTTGCTGTTGTTGTTGTTGTTGTTGTCGGTTTCTTCTTATTCGCGCTTAACGCTTCATCGCTCGTCTCAACCTGTGCCAAGCGCGCAAAAATAAAAAGTAAAACATAACCCAAAATAAGACCAAAAGACAAACAACAACAACAGCAGCAGCCGCCGCCGTCGCCGTCGCAGCAGAGACGTCAGCAGCGTCTCCAAAGACAACAACAAAAACAATAAATATCAGCAAAAGACATAAAATTCAACCGGTTGGTTGGGTTTCAAAGCCGCTGCCGCACTCTCAGCCGCAGTCGCAGTCGCAGCAGCAGCAGCGCAGCAGCAATAATTTGTAAAATAAAAAGGAAAGATATATGCACGCTTATAAATAAAAGCAGCTTTGGGGGTAAAAACCATGCCTTGTTTAGCATAGTTTTCTATAGATCCGTTTTGTGTTCTTTTTATCCCAATTGGAATTTGATAAAAAACAAAAAAGAGCGCGCGTTAAATAATTGCCAAGTGGAATAATACCGGATTTCTGCAAAATACGTGCACGTACTAATGCCTATTATTTATAATTTCATTATGTTAATTATATTAATAGCACAGTTTGATCAATGCTCACACTATTACGAGAAAGCCAGCTTTTTTAGCGGGCTTCAACTGCAATAACAACAACAAAAAGTCTGGCAACGCTTGACTGTGACTGGCTTAGCGGTTAAAGCAATGCTTAATTGTCCTCTCGGTTTCAGTTGCTAATTTTTAGTTGATTTGTGTGGGGTAAGACGTTGCTTAATTCAGCTTTAAAAAGTTTTCTTCTTTTATGTGAAGCGATAAACTGGCTTTGAATAACACAGTTGACAATATGGCAGCTCTAATCTAATGTATGACTAAGCTAGTAGGTAAACCAACCGTTAATATCATTTGCATTTACATTTGTTTTATGTGTAACTGTATACTTGATTTTATTAACTATTAATTTCACTTGATAAAAACTGTTTTCCTTGCATAAGCAAGCGATAAGCACTCAAAACACATTATTTAAAATCTGAATAGTATGGCAACGCCATAATTCTTAATAATTTAAGTACAGTATGTACTATAAGGTTAAGGGGAAACCCAATTACGTAGAGAGGCAGTATTTTGAATCGAGAGTTTATCGATAAATATTAGGCCAGACTTTAAAGCAGAGCCAACTTGCAAATTAATAACTTTCCAATGCTTTCATCTACTTAACAAAACTGTGCTAATTGCGAGTCAGTGCCCTATACAAATATATGGATATATTTGTAATGCTCCCAAATGCCAAATGAATCATAATAGATAAAGAAAGACAATATATATATGTTGCTGCTGCCCAATGCACCCAGATATTCAGCCCTGAAATCTATAGCAGATGGGTTTGGTTTTGGTCTTGCAAATCTGTTTTTTTTTTGGTGTGGCAAACGTATTTGAGCAAATCTTTAGAGCCGAGCCGCTAATTCGATTGATTAGTGTGATCTTTCAGACACACGTCTATATAGCTGGCAAAAGCTATATTTTTTCAAACCTAGCTTGTCTAGAGTCTATTTGCATACGTTCAAATTGAAATCATGCGTTGGGTCCCAGTTCTGGCCGGTTGAGCATAGAGCTCTTATCTTTTTCAGCTAATCCGCATGTAATTGAAATGTTGTCGAAATCACATGCCAGTCATGGCAATTAGCACGACAGCAATGGCAAATATGAGAGTTTTTGCATGCCTACTTTTTGTATACCCTGCATCCATTCAAAATTGGCAATAAGAGTATAAAGGTTATGTGCCAAGCTATGTAACAGGCAGAGTGAAGCGCCACCGAATATATAGAATATATATATTTTCTAGGTCAAAATCAGTATCCGAATCGATGTAGCCAATTTGTTTTTATGTATAAACACGTCAATCTCAAAGATCTAGACTTCAAATTTCCAATCTGTATCTATGTATAAACACGTCGATCTCAGAGATCTAGACTTAAAAATTCCTTCTAATGCGTGAAAGAATCTAGATATTCTTTTAAAGCATCGATATCTCTCCTTGTTTCCACGTAATCAATAAAAGTCGTTATCGACATTGTGTAAAACAACAACAAACGAAGATTCCAAAGTTTAAAAATAAGGCATATTTTGAGTTATGGTCTGAGTTACATTTTCTTGGATGTCATATGTATGCCCTGAAAATTTAATAAAGATCGGACCATAAGCAACGAACTTATTCAAGATGTCTGTGCGTGCTTATGTGTGTGTTTGCAGGGTATTTCCTAGTCGCCTATCTCAGACTACAGCACTCTTTTTTTTTGTATGTTATTCCAATTTGTTGTGCTCAGATTTATGGCTCAATTTTTGTGGCCAATTCGTGCAGTTTTGACCGGCACGCCAGTTCAATGCAAAAGTTGTTGCTGTTGTTGTTGCTTGTTTTTTTATTGAAATGCTAATAAAACGCCAAAGTTTGACCGCAACAAAAAATGAAGAAGCGTTTACATTTGCGGCTGTGGCCCTGCAAACAATAAAAACAACAAGCACAGCTCAACTTCCGGCTAAATCAATATGACAACAACAACAAATATATTTCACAAGTAGCGACAGGTTTTCGTCTTTTTGTTTTTTACTATATTTATTTATTTATTTATCTTAAATACCTCGCAGCTTCTTCAAAAACTCTTGTCATTATGCTTAATTCTTGTTCTCGCTCGTTTTCTATTTTTTAAATATTTTTACCAATTTCGAGTGTTGTTGTTTGTTATTGTTGTTGGAAGCTGTTGCGTCAAACTAAATCAAATCACTTGAGTTATTTTCATATAAATAGCATCTTTAGATTTGCTGTTCTGCTTGGGAACTTTTGCGAATATGTATCCATATCCATATCCATAGCCATATCTATATCCATAGCTCAGCTCAGCTCAGCTCGCCGAAGCCGAAGCGTTAATTTAATCAAAATCATTGCGACAACACGACGTCAATGAATGCGACAACAACAACAACAGCAACAACAATAAAAACAACAACAACTGGCAAGACGATAGCTGGAGCAAAGTCAGAAGAATGTCTTCTGTATACATTTTGTAGGGGTTTTTTTTTACTATTTTTCTTACAAAAGAAATTACATCTATATATAGTTCTAGGTAAAAAAATGTATATTTAAATGTGATTTGAGTTGCATTTATTTAAATCAGACATATGTATTAATTTGTCCGAATAAAATGAAATATCTGCGGAAAATTACCTTTGTATTTAAAACATAAATTTGAGCAAAAAAATCTAAAAATTCTTTAAAACATAAAAAAAAAATTGATTAAATTGTGTTTAACACATTTAATTCCATACAAAACCTAAAGCAAGTCTAACGAATGTTAATTTTTTGTAAAAACATCATATGTATATTCGTCTAGAGATTGCCTTTATAATAAATGCTTTTATATTTGTTAATTTACGATCCTGAGCGTGTTTCTTATAAATGGCAATAGAAGATATAGGAAAGTGCATCAGAGTCGTCCGCTTTAAATGCACCCAATGTTCAGCCGGATATATGTAAGTTCCGCATTTCATCATATTGCGCCATTTAATAAATTATAAATCCGAAATAAAGCAAACATTCCGCAATGAGAGATAAAGAGACACAAGCAGGCAGACAGATAAAAAAAAAAACAAATACAACAATGTCGGCACTTAAAACGCAATTAAAAGCAACAACAACAACAACAACAACATTTAAAAAAATGATATATGTGCCATATTTATTTGGCATATTACAATTTTATTGCATACTTAGCAGCGCTTAGCAGGAAATTAATAACAAACAAAAAATGACAACAAATTAACTGTAAAACAAAAACCTAACCTCAAACTAAAACCTAACCTCAAACAAAAACATAACCTCACATAATCTGCACATTAAAAGATCTATGCTTTGAAACTTAAAGTTCCGAAAATAAGTTTCTACTTCCGCCAAAAAATGATCAACTAATTTTTCTATTGAAATCCTAATTCTAATCTGAAGATTCTTAAATTGTGGACAAACATATTTGCATATTTTCTATATGAGTAAAATTCGCCATATATATTACACATAAGTCTGGAACTAAAGCTGATTAATAAGCTCGTCTGTTTATCTTGTGTATTTACGCGTTGTGCTAAACTTTTGCATGGTCCAGAGTGCAAATGAGATATCATGTCAAGTACTTGTGCATATATTAAATATATATATATATATACACATATATGTATATGCAGATTTGTCAAAATCTGCGACGTCATGGTGTTATCGGAGAGAAGCGCATTTCAAAAATGCGCAAAAATAAAAAGAAGTATTAAAATAGAACTCGAAACAAGCTCTCATAGAGAATTGTTGTTTATTTTGTCATATTCCGGGAACTATGGAAAATCGGAATCGCTTTGAATAAACACAACGAAACGCTGGAAAACTTTGACTTTTACACTATTTGTTTCTTCACTTTTTTTACGCTAATCGAATTGCAGTTTTTCAGACGAAAAGTTGATAGTTAATAAAATTATAAGAAGTGGTAATAGGATAGGTAATAATTCTTTAATAACATTAATCACAACTTCAGCTTTTCCGCGTGCTCTTTTGTCATTTCCAGAACAGGAATCGGAACCATGCTGTAGTCTGTGCAGACATCTGGAAAGGATGCCACTGGAGTGTAAACGTTTACTGGACAATTATCTTTGGATATGAACATGGAATTCGAATTTCCGGACTTTTGTAAGTATGCAAACTTCTAATCGAATACAATATACATCATTAAGTGAGCTGAGAATGGAACTGTAGAGAGATGTAAAGTATCTTGAGATTGAGGATTTGACAGTGGATTTACTAAGTTTTGGCTAAGCTTGTGCTCTATAAAAGAAACAATTAAGAGGCTTTAGTCGGGAGTTCCCGACTGGGGGATACCCTGAACCCGCTTTTATCAACGCAAACTGCAGCTTGAGCTAGTTCGAATTGGTTTATTTATAAGATAACTACTCAATAAGCTACATTTCAATTTTGGTGAGTCTAGCTCCTAAAACCGAAGAGATTTGTTCAAAAAATCAGAATTGCGATATCGATTTTTATCGATTGCTTAGAAAAGGGGCAAGTTATCGATTATCGGCAACAAATTCGTGCTGCGTACTCGACTTACGTTCAAAATTTCAAGTCTCTAGCTGTTATAGGTGCTGAGATCGACAGACGGACATGTCTAGATCGAGTTGGCTATTGTTGCTGATCAGGAATATATATACTTTCGTTTAGTTGCAGATGCTTCCTTCTGCCGGTTACATACATTTGCACAAATACATTATAACCCTTTTACACATTTTCAATGGTACAGAAAATAATAAAAGGCTTAATTTCAGTTTAAATCAATTTAAATCAAAAATTGTTTTTTCTTTGCAAGTTGTTGTGAATTTGTTTTTCCATTCAATTTCTAAACTTAAGATAATATAAAGAAAATCAAAACTATGATTAGTTTTAAATGAATATGAATATGAATATGAAATTATAATTTAGTTAGGAAAGAAATCATAATTATGATTAGAGTTAAATCTTATGATATTTATTTTATGAATTAAATCTTAAATTAGAATTTAGCTGGAAACAAATGAATTATGAATTAAATATTTAATGAAAGTGAGAATTTATTAATTATGAAATTATTCTTACAAATTAAATCTTGAATTAGAATAAGAATTTAGCAGTAATAAAATACAAATGTTGATAAGTTTTAAATAGTATAAATATAATTTAAAGAATGAATTAGGATTAAAATTTAGCTGCTTTTATTTTTTATACAACTTTAAAATTAGCTAACCGAATAGTTAGATATATGATGATAACAACTAAATGATTATAGACCGCGGCAAGGTTATAAAAAGCGTTCAAATTGTCCTTCCGTCAATAATAAAATCGAAATGTGACTACGAAAATAGATGGCAAATAAAATAAATTGATGGGCCTAACAAAATTTGGCTTGCGCCAAAACAAACAGACCCACAATTGCCTCTAGGGATATGCTATAAGAGGTATATATGGTATATATATATATATATATATATATATTCTAAATAATGTCGCCTGTTTGTTGCCGAGCGAAAACTTTGTTTGATCAATATTCTCGGGCAGGACTCAGTCATATATTTGCACGCTGATTGAATTTCACAGTGCATCAAAATTTCGCAGCGCATTTGACGTGAATTGTGCGCGGATTCACAAATAAATAATAATTAGATATAGAAAATAAATATAAAACCTGGGAGAAGATATTTATTGAAAACAGCTTTTGCGTTCATGTTTTGAATTGTGAATGCATATGGAAAAACATTTAGGAAACACTTGCCACAACAAAGTTCGTTTTCATTTCAATTGGTTTTGTTTTTCTTTTCCTTTTTTTGTTTTTCTTCTCGACTTTGAGTTTCTTCTATTTTTTAATTGAGTTTCGTTTTCGCTTTCAATTACTCGACGCGCTTCTGTTTCTGCGCTTCAAAGTTGTTTATATTATTTTATATATATTTTTATATATATATATATAAATGTAACAATTGGAAAAGCGCATTTTCACTGCTCAGCGGCTTGTGAAAAGTGCATCAACCGCTTGTGCGCTCACATGTGCGTTAGATAATTGTTGTGTGTATTTTCCAAATGGTTTTTCACAATTTCTGCTCGCCGTGGATGCTGTCGCCGCAGCTCTTAACTCTTAACTTGGCCATTAGTGCATCACGTTTGGGCTTGGCCAAAAGGCGCAGGCAACGCGTTTGAAATCTCATTGTTAAAAGCTAACAATTTAATTTGAATACAACAAACACACTTCGATTATGGACTATCCCAAAACGTTAAATGGTAATTTTGTGTGTTTGATTTGTGTATCTAAGTCTTTTATTTGTGCATAATTTACGTCTGGCAATAAAATTTGCGTCGCTTTTATCGATCAAACACTTCAAATGTGTTCAGTTTGGGGCCGTCTCTCTTATCAGTCCAGTTCCATAGCTTCCTCCATTCAGTTCGTTAGAAATGTGCACTTATCACATTTGTAGTAAACATTTTAACGTTGACGCCCCTTTTAACAACAAAATTAACGACAATCTCTGAGTCAGTGAAGCCGCCATTAATGTGCTTAATATACAAAGTTAATTAAATGAATATACATTTTAAAAATTGCATTAAATGCGGAGGCTCAAAAACTAACTTTAATAACAAATTCTTGGTTTCGATAATACCAAAAGCCACAATCGATTTATTTGAGCCTTTTTATGTCTAATTTATTAAATGCCCAATAGTATTAATAAAGCATACAGATTATTGTTATAAACTAGGTTATGTTCTCAGCCTGGTTTTCCTGGTCCTCCTGTTTATACTCAAATACGTATTCAATTTTACACTTATATTTACTCATAATTAACATACTTATACATATTATCCTCCCCCACACACATTCTTTCATTAAGTATACTCTATCCTGCTCATTCTTATACTCAAACTCACACTTATACTAAAACTCATGCGTATGCTCCTATCTTATAATCATTCTCATGCCTATACTTAGTGGCATACATATACACCCTTTTATACCCAGTATCATACTTATACTTATACTAATATTTATCTTCTTACGTTAAATAATACTCATTTTTACTCATAGCCATACCTGTAAGCATACCTATACTTCTGTATACTCAATAATATTCTTATGCTCATATTACCATACTATATGAATACTTATACTGCTACTTATACTCACCTTCATACATGCACTCACATTTATACTCACGCTTATATGCATAACTATTCTCATACTTATACTGCTAATAATACGCATAATAATATTTATACTCACACTCATATTGAGCGTACTCATATGTCTGTCTTTATTAGTCTTATACTCGTCTAAAAACTCTTACTTATTCTCCTATCTGAATCAATCGTCTATCATTTTTATACATGCTTAGATCCAACTTATAATCATTATCAAACTTATACTCACACTTATACTAAAAACTCATACTTATAGTTCCATCTAAATTAATCTTAATTTGCATCATCCTCATACTCATAATTATTCTTATACTTTTTCCCATACCTAAATCCGTACTTATACATCTACTTATATAAATTATCCTACTTATACCAACACTTATACCAGCATTTTACTCATATTACTAATGCCTTATTTTGTACTTGCAGCTCGCCCCGATTTCATGGATGGCATCGACAATGAGGCTCTGGATTTGTTTATGCAAGCCGCCGGCGTCAGTGCGCTGGACGATGCGGCACAGCACAGCAACAATGAGGCGCTCAGCGTGGAGCACACATCGGCGGCGGCTGTTGTTGGCATCTCCAAGTTGGAATCGCCGCACACGCCGCCGATGAATGTGCTGGATGCACAGCTGACGGGTCGTGCGAGTGCGATGGCCATGCCGCTGGCACATTTGCCCGAGAGTCCGCCCGACTCGGGCTCCGAGCCCGCCTACAGTCCGCTGGGAGATGTGCATGCCCTTAACGGGCGTGACCTCATCTATCCCGGGCTGGTAACCATGCAACAGCAGCAGCAGCAGCAACATCCGGGCATGTTGCAGACGGACCTGCAGTTTACTTCGCCACCGCCGCCGCCACAGCAGGGTCATCATTTTGTGGCGCCTGGGCAGGATGTGCGGGTGAAGCATGAGCTCATCAATGCCAACGGCTTGCTCTGCCAGCAGCAGCTGGGCGAGCAGCAGCTGCTGCCCATGCATCATCCGCAGCAGCATCAGCAGCAGCAGCAGCAGCAGCTGCAACAACATCACGAACTGCCGCAGGAGCAGCTGCTGTATCAGCACTACGATAACGGGCATAGTCTGTATGGCGGGGGCAGCTATCAGAATCTGTCCAGCATGTCCACCTGCATGTTGACCTCGCCGCTGGGCCTGGGCGATCGCGTTCAGGTAATTGGCACCAGTCAATTGTCGCTGAATCGCAGCTCCACGCCCTCCACGCCGGTGCATTCGTTGTCGCGGAAGCGCAAGATGTCCACCCAGCTGGATTGCCCGGACTTTGCGCCCGTGGCGAAGCATGAAGCGGGCCTGCAGATGAGCCCGCTGCGCAGCTCCCATCACTCCATAACAGTGGTAACACGAGACAATGCCGCAGCTACTCCAACCAACGGCAACAGCAGCAGCAGCGATCACGATCTGAGCAAGACACCCGCGCATTCACATTGCTCCGCCTCCGTTTCGCCGGCGTTGTCCGGCATCAACTCGCAGGCGGAGAACAGCCTGGACGGGCAGACGAGCAATGCGGCGGGCGGCAGCGGCTCGGGCAGCGAGGCTGGCGATCCGGCATTGACCCAGTGCATACGGTTCAGTCCATTCCAGCCGGAGAACTGGCACAAGCTGTGCGACCAGAGCCTGCAGGAGCTGTCCGTCATCTATTACCGTGTCGATGCGGACAAGGGCTTCAATTTCAGCGTCTCGGACGACGCGTACGTGTGCCAGAAGAAGAATCACTTTCAGGTTACTTGCCATGCGCGCCTTCAAGGAGATGCCAAATTTGTTAAGACCCCGTCCGGATTGGAGAAAATCAAATCCTTCCATTTGCATTTCTATGGTGTCAAATTTGAGGCGCCCAACCAAACGATACGCGTGGAGCAGAGCCAGTCGGATCGCTCAAAGAAGCCATTCTATCCCGTACCGTAAGTATAAGACTTCGACCCGCACGATCCAGTTCCCGTTCAAATGGGAGATACATTGATTGAATTCCTTCGCCAGTATCGATCTCCAGAGCCATATTGTCAGCAAAATCACCGTGGGTCGCCTGCACTTCTCGGAGACAACCAACAATAACATGCGCAAGAAGGGACGTCCGAATCCGGAGCAGCGTTTCTTTCAGCTGGTCGTCGGTCTGCATGTGCACACCACATCCGGACATTTTCCGGTTGCTAGCCATGGCAGCGAGCGCATTATTGTGCGCGCCTCGAATCCGGGTCAGTTTGAGTCCGACGTGGATCTATGCTGGCAGCGCGGCATCACCCAGGAGTCCATCTTCCATGCGGGCCGTGTGGGCATCAACACAGATCGGCCGGACGAGAGTCTTGTGGTGCACGGCAATCTCAAGGTATCCGGCCACATTGTCCAGCCCAGCGACAGTCGCGCCAAACAGGAAATCGCCGAACTGGACACATCGGTCCAGCTGCGCAATATGCAAAAGATACGCATTGTGCGCTATCGCTACGAGCCGGAATTCGCCGTACACTCGGGCTTGAGGCGTGAGAGCGATACCAGGGAAATCGTTGACACGGGCGTTATAGCACAGGAGGTGCGAGAGGTTATACCGGATGCGGTCCAAGAGGCTGGCAGCGTCGTACTGCCCAATGGGAATGTTATTGAGAACTTTTTGCTGGTCAATAAGGTAAGAATCAATACCTAAACTTTTAAATAATCAGTGCTCGTGCATGATCACACTCACTCCAAGGATTAGTTAAAGGGATATTTATAAAAGCTGACTAAAATATGCTCTGCATATATACTAAACAGTATATTTTCACAGTGTTAGGCATACAAATTTCCCTTGATTCAAATGAACTATTAAGAGGGAATTTTTTATTTGTGTAAATTGTCGCATTTTTTGAGTATGGGAGCTCGAAAAATTACATTTCTTTGTTATTTCCTTAGAAATAGATTCATTTTTAGGATGCATTTTTTGTATAAGTATCACTCTTATATTTTCCTAAGCTTTGAATAGCCACACTAAATAGTAATCGTTTACGATCATTCTTTTAGCAAAGACACAATAATTTCCTTTAAAATAGATACGAGGGATATTTATGAGTATCTGGCTTATATTCTGAATGGGCAAGCAAGCGCCAGCAATTATTTATGGCCACTTTCCCAACATTAACGGTGAAAGTTGTTCTTAAATAATTTCCCCAATCCTCAAATATGTGGTCACACTAAGGGACTTAATTTAGTTAATACCGCCAAAAAAAAATTAAATGTGTACACACTAATTGGTGAACCGTCTTGCTCTCTTTTGCTTCGACTGTTAAATTTTAAATGGTGCTTGCTTAAAAAAAAGGTATCCCTACTTTCTTTTCGATGCCATTCGAAATAGCTCAGCCTGATTAATCTACGCATCAAACGTGTACACTTCCATAAAGCTGTCAAATTCATTAACACGACAACACAAATATATTTCAACACGCCCCTTTTCATATATATGTATGTTTAGGATCGTATACTAATGGAGAACATTGGGGCCGTGAAGGAGCTGTGCAAGGTCACCGGCTCGCTGGAGACGCGCATTGAGAATCTGGAACGGGCCAACAATAGTCACAATAGCCACCAATTGCGTGCCAAGGATCTTTTAGAGCCACGCTGCATTCTACCGCCGCGCCTCCACAAGCCGAACAATCGCAGCAATGATGGTTACGAGATCTGCTCCAGCCGCATGATGCAGATCATCATCTTTCTGCTGATCATTGTAATGGCCGCCTGGTAAGCAGCACATCCCAGACATTTATGCCCACGTATTCTTAACTCGTCAATTTGATTGCAGCCTGGCTGCCGTGTCCACGCTGTATTTTGTGGAGCACAATAAGCAGCAACAGCACATGGACGGGTATCCCGTGTTCGGCGACGGTCGCCTCTTTCGACCGGATGGGCCGACGCGGCTCAGCGACGAGGATCGTTTCAATTTGCAGCAAAGCCTGCAAACGCTCTTCAAGAACAAAACCCACGGGGCGTGGCCAAGTTTAATTTATGGCGCCAGCACAGCACGACCCACGGGCCGCAGCACAGCCATGCGGCAGGGCGAGGGCGATGAGGCTGGGCACGCGGATGAAGAGGAGCAGGAGCTGACGGCGGTGATGAACAACCCGCAGGTGAATTTGCCGCTGCCCAAGCTCCATCCGCGCATCACGACAACGGCGCCACGCAACAACAACAACAACAAGACGATTGTCAGCAAAAACAAGTCGAAATGGCCGGTGAGCCAGGAGGCACTGCGTCCGGCTGTCGCACAGAAACTGCTGCAGAGCGTGCGCGCGACAGCCGTGGGCAGAACCCTGGCGGCCAGCAACAACGACACGGAAACCTCCTCCGAGAAGCCGCCGGGCATACCGCTATCCCAGGACTTTGAGAACAACTCCATAGATGTGGATGCCCAGCTGCAGCAGCAGCAGCAGCAGCAGCAGTTGCAGCTACAGCAGCAGCTGAAGCAGCCCACCAAGCTGGACGAGCACATTGTGGTGGTGGGCACCATTGCCAGCACCGCGGTGGACACTCTGGCCGCCGATGCCGGGCAGGCCATACGCAAGCTGAACGCGGGCGATGCGGCCATCTACAATGTGTACAAGACCGTATCGCCGCCGACGGCCAATTTGGCGCTGACCACCAACAAGGTCAGCCCCGAGCAGAGCCAAGTGCAGAGCACGCTCGCCCTGGCCCTGGACGTGCCGCCGCCGGCAGCTGTGCGCAACAGCAGCGGGGCCAAGGACAGCGCCGATGCCCTTGACCTGCAGAATTTGAGCAATACCAACGAGTCGGAGACCGCGGATAATCCCATAACGGCGGTGTTCGGGTTCGAGTATACGGAAGCAAGTCTGCGTGATTCCACGGTGGGTCGCCGCTCTGCGAATCAGCGCAGTCTGGACTGGATCAGGCACAAGAGCCTGAAGACGCCGCTGTTTGGCCAGCCGCCGGAGTGCAATGGCGACGAGGCCGTCAGCGATAATTGTCAGGTGGGTTTTTGATAGCTTCTCGAGTGGTTAATCCTACAGTTTTCTAATGTCACGTGCACGCACAGTCCACCTGCTTTGAGGAGCTGCAGCCAGCTGCAGCTGTTGCCGACAATCTGGATGTCAATGTCAAGCACCAGCATGTCGAAGATGAGCTGCAGTCCGCCGAGCAGGAGTCGGATGGCGACATATTGATCATACAGCCGGTGTCCGGCAACGATACGGCCGCTGCACGTGTCTATCATGGCAAAAGCTCGCACACAACATCCGCCCGGGCCAAGCAATATTCCAGCGAAGCGGATGGCGTCGTCGGCGAGGATGCCCTCTACACGGTGCTAAACGAGGCGCCGCCAACGGCTGCCGACCACGTAAAGCTGCCGGCCAAGGCTGCGCCCGTCGCGCTGCTGGCCACGGCAACGGAAACTGCAACAGCAATGCCTCATCCTCTGGATTGCTGGAGCATTAGCACTTGTGTGCTGGCCGGGCTAAACAATCAAACTATCGACGTGGCGCAGTTTTGTCCCAGCTCCGGCAGCTCCCTGAATGTGAGCTATACTGTGCCCGTGTCGCGCTATTTGCAGGCCGTCAGCTTGGAGCTGCATTTCAGGTGGGTTTGGGGTACGGTGGATAACTGGAAATCGCATATAAATTGATCAATTGTTGGCCTTAACAGTTCCAGCAAGCCGCTGCAGTGGTCCATTTGCAGTGATGAGGATCAGTCCAAGTCGAATGCGGGCGCACAATTGAACGAGGATGAGGACGCGACGCCCAGCAGCTGGGTCAAGGTGCTCAAGCAATTGGGCAACAACAAGCTAATCCTAGCACTGGACATGCCCAGTCGTGGCAACTTTTTGCGCGACTTTATGCTGCGCGCCAGCCCAGACCTGGAACAAGTAGGGCATCAATTAAAACTAAATATATATGGAGTGTTGTTTCAGGGTCTAATTCAATTCTACTTGCAGCAAAAACTATGCGATGACAACGCCCACGTGGCGAACCCTATACTCCAGTACAACTTTAGCATCGTAAGAAATTGTGATTAGTTAACAATTTAATTTATGGCACGGATCGAATCGAAACCGAAACGGAAACGGAAATGTAAACAAACACCACAAAGAAATGTTTTCGCACGTTTTCCAACACTTCATTCCAGCGCTCAGCTGCAACTGCTTGCAGTTGAATGCTGGCAACAAATATGGCAAGAACAAAAAAAATACAAAAATACAAAAACAAACAAAAACAAATGCATTCAAAACATTTATCGACATTTTAAATAAAAATATTTAGTAAAATGTACTCGCAACTGTTTAACTACTTATGAGCATACTTAAGGCAACTATTGTTTAACAAGCTAAGGCTACACGGCAAAGGGCTGTTCCGTGCCATCCTCGTGGTATTTGATGTACGTCTCGCCGTGCGTAAAGTCCTTGGTGCCCTCCAGACGACCGCGTGGCGGCGCCTTCTCATAGTCAAATGCCTTTTCTGATTTGCCAAACAGCTGATTGGCCATCTCAATGTCCTCGCGGTATTTGCCAACCACAACCTTTTTGCCGGTAATGGGATCGGTTATGTCACCAAGCGGATAGACCACTTTTTCCACATTGTGCGTTATGAGACGTGTCATGCGCTCGGGCAGTTCACGTATCAATACCACATCGCCGGTTTTGCACAACTTTTGGGGATCGTGGGCAAAGTAAAACGTATCCTTTTTAAAGTACTGTAAACAATACGAACTATGAATCTAAATTCCATCACACTATAAGAAAACAGTGCAAACCATATTTAAGTTTTTGTCCAGCTCCATGCGACGTATGCGTATTTTGGAGGCATTATGTTTGATACAGGGCATGCATTGACCCATAAGTAATAAGCCACGCGCTGCCATTTTATTAGATTATTTATCAAAACAACAGAAATTCACGTTCATACAAAAATTATGTAGTTATTTAATAGGTGTGACCAAAAAATACTAACTGCAAATAACATAAAAATACCACAATACATGTGGATCACAATCTATTTCATTGCATACAAAATAACAATAATAAACACCCTAAAATATTCCAATTCAGTATTTTAGTTTCAACTAATTGCGCAGCAGGTGTGCACACACTTGACAAATCTGTGGGTCAGCTGTTTTGCAGCTGTTGTGTACACACCTTGTCACCGATAAGAAACAGTTTTTGTGTTGTGTGCTATTATTTTTAAATAAACTCAATTGTTTATATTTAATTTTATAATATTAAGAAAGCGAGCGCTGAGCTAACTGCATGTTAAATACATCAGCTGTGCACGAGCAACTCACGCTTACGTCACCATGGTAAATAAACAAAGAAGCCCTAGAAATTGGAGCTGGGCGGCACAATGATGTGATTTTTCCGAAATTGATACCAAGCTGTAAATTTTATATGATGCGGAAAACTTGATGCTTAAACTTTTGCAAGATAAATTTGGACAGAAAGAGTCAAACTAAGCACTGCGCACAACAATATTATCGCTCTCAGCTCTACTCGGTTATCTTAAATTCTTTATATAGTGGGCAAAATATTTAAGCAATATTCTCTTGCATGGCATTTTATAGAGCTACGAACATGAAGACTACCCGGAGGACCCATTCCCAAAGGATTTTGGTTATTGCGCCTATGATCAGGATGGCCTGGACCTGGAACCGAATGCAACCAGCAACAGCGAGACAAAACCTCGGATATTGCTAATGGGTCTGCGTCGCTCGGGCAAGAGCTCCATACAGAAGGTCGTCTTCCACAAGATGTCACCCAATGAGACGCTCTTCCTCGAGTCGACAAGCAAAATTGTTAAAGATGACATCAATAATTCCAGCTTTGTACAGTTTCAAATTTGGGATTTTCCGGGTCAAATTGATTTTATAGAGCCCACCTTCGATTCGGATATGATATTCGGCGGCTGTGGTGCTCTTGTATTTGTGATTGATGCAAAGGATGACTACATCGAAGCGCTGACCAAGTTCAAGAACACTGTCATAAAAGCGTACAAAGTGAATCCACGCATCAAATTCGAGGTGTTCATACATAAGGTAACTAGATAGCGCCCTGTTATCAATTGTCGTTTTCATGCAGCTGTTGGCTTTCCCATAGGTTGATGGCATCAGTGATGATTCCAAAATGGAATCACAACGTGATATACACCAACGCTCATCGGATGACCTCAGCGAGGCGGGCCTCGATCAAATCCATCTAAGTTTTCATTTAACTTCGATATACGATCATTCAATATTCGAGGCATTCTCGAAGGTTGTACAGAAGCTGATACCACAGCTGCCTACGCTGGAGAATTTATTAAACATTTTCATACCAGTAAGTGGAAACTTTATACCGTCACCAAAATAATCGCATTAATGACTGCAATACTCTACAGAACTCTGGCATAGAGAAGGCATTTCTCTTTGATGTTGTCTCCAAAATCTATATAGCGACGGACTCATCACCAGTTGATATGCAAGCCTACGAACTATGCTGTGACATGATTGATATGGTCATTGATCTATCCAGCATTTATAGGTAAATAATAGTACAGCCAAAATAAGCACACTTTCTAAATATTCTCTCTCTTGCTCGCAGCTCTGAAGAAACTGCCTTTGACAGTGGCAGTTCTAGTCTCATTAAACTAAATAACAATACGATACTCTATATGCGTGAGGTGAACAAGTTTTTAGCCCTGGTCTGCATACTGCGTGAGGAAAATTTCAATCGGCAGGGCGTCATAGATTACAACTTTATTTGCTTTCGCGATGCCATTAGCGAGGTATTTGAGCTGCGCCTCAAGCGTCAGAAACAGCTTGAAAACGCCGATCAGGACGATGATGAGTTGGCTGATGATCAGGGCATAACAATTGGCCGTACGAACCATGAGAATGATACAGCTGTTGTGTCCAGAGCGCCAAAAATTACATGAACATAATTACGGTGACCTTAAGTTCTGTGTGTTTAACTATTGGTTTATTTCCCCCTTATAATTACACGTGAACACACAGACAACAATACTGATAAAATCACTAATTTGTCTTTAATAATTATTTTTTTATCCATTTTTATGTTTATTTTCATTTATATATCTATCTTTGTTCTATATTGTTAATTCATATGTGTAGCCGCTTTGCTGCTCTTTACAACGCCAGAAACAAAATGCCCAGCGTTTTAAATAATTACAACTAATAATATGTATATTTTTAAATAAAATTTAAATTGAAACTGAGAATTTCATTTCAGCACAAACTAAGATATACTAGCTATACAAATTATTGACTCGCGCGGTATCAAATTTAAAAAAATGCATTTCAATATTAGCACCGATCATATTTAATCGATAGTTTTTGCCACCTTCAAACACTTGGCAGCAAGTGTTGCAAATATATCGGCAATGCAAATAATGCCATCGTAAAATAGTTGTAATATACCATATTAATTATAAGTTACGAAAAGATGGCAAAAAATACAAAATTATTGGTATACATGAAATACATCTCAAGAGCCATATCGATACATTCAGTTAAAGAAAATCGTAAATGTGAATCGATGGTAGAAATCGTTGCAGCGATGATTTCTTATATCACTTACATCTCTAGAACAAATACAACAGACGGGTCGACGGCGACACTTTACATGTGTATGCGTGCTGGTCATACAGTAGTGAAAAATGAGCTGCTAAGAGCAGTAGAATTAATAGTTAATGCGCCAGTAGCCGAAATTGCTGATTTCTTCTACACATAAATCGTGCTAATTTAATTAAAGTTGTTGGTGTGTTTGTGTGTATGTCTGTGAAGACGATCGACGGGGTGGTGCAGTTAAAAATAAAAACCAGTTAAGTCTGTGTCGGGTGAAAGAAAGAAATTTTGTATATGTGTCTCTGTGTGTGTGTGGAAAAGCAACAACAGCAGCAGCAGCAATAACAACAATAACCTGGTCTCGTATGTCCGCTTTCCTTGCTCGTTACGGTGCTTTTCTGTGCCCAAAGTGCAGGCAAGTGCAGCCTGGAATCAGCACCAACGACAGGTGCGTACAACATTTTCTACTTTCTGTCTTTCTTTTAGATTTATTGATTGTTCAAATGCCGCATATACAGCATCCCATGACAATAGATTTAATTCATTCAACCAAAAATTTCAACATATGTATATGTATGTGTATAAATAAAGTGAAAGGTGGTGGCGCATCTTCAGCTTTTTGTCTGTCCCATAGAAATAACAAAATATAAATAAAAAGCACTATTTAATTGTAAACTACTAACATTTGTTATTACTAAAAAATGCTAAAATTTTATTGTTGATAAATGCAGCGAAAAACAACAAAATAGTGAAGAATCATTGCTAAATCTTGGTTGTGTGTGCGAAAGAGATGCAAGAGGGTGACTTTCTTGACAACAAAAATAACAAATTGGCAATCGATAAATAAAAAAAGTTACAGTTTTGTCGATTTATTGCAGTTGTGCAGCTGTGCGGAACAGTGTATACATAATGCACCAAAAGCAGATAAATAATTAGCCGCAAATGTTCTCGAGTGTTGTCACCCACACACAGTGCTTATGTCATAAGCGGAAACTTATTCACACCTATACAAATGTATATATATACATATATAAATCCAACTTTATGGGCATGTATTTTATCTATGAGCATATAACGATTTCTCGTACCAACCCCCAAAAATTAAAAGCACCATAGCAACATACGCAGTTATGTCTATGACCTTAGACATGTTTTTTTTTTGCCCATTTCCTACCTCAAACGTTCTCAGACACGCGATTTCTAATATGGCAAACTTTGAGGTTATGTCTGCATTTGCCGGGTGGTTTTTCAGGGGTTGCATCGTTTATTGATTGATATGAACAAGTAAATTTCACATTGCAAGATAACCAAATATAATATTATAATTACTTGCTTTAAAAAAGTCTTATATTTCATGGAAGAAAAATTTTAAACATAAATTCAGTTTTTCAAGCAGAAGGGGGTGGTCCCTATACCTGGCCAAAAAGCGTAAAGTGTGTTAATGTTTTTTAATTTGTGTTGCCAACACGTGTGCCACACAATTTCCATTTTCTTTGCTCCAACAAATTCTCAACTTTAAGAGGGCGTGCCCCAAAGGCAATGAGCACTTGACGCAGGTGGCCCAAAGAAATCTTAAAAAAAAAAAAAAACCAAAACCATTTGTAGGCAAATTAAATTGCCAACAAACCGTGAAGTTGGTTAGTGGGTTTTGTTGTTTTGGCCAAAAGAAATGGATTTCAGTTGCATATGTTTGTTTTTCAACTTGCTTCTCTTTCTTCTCTCATTCTCCGTCTTCTGTTATCTGTTGAACAAACATTTGCCGTTATATGTAGTTAGCAGCAGGAGCGCTCTGTAAATTATTTTTTATCGATTGCTTTCACACTTCCGCACTAAACAATCAGCAATCAGACAGACACAATTGCGTTTTTCGCTACACTTTTTCTCTCATTCTCGTGTCTGTCAGCCATCCTCCGTTTGCTGGCCATAGTTTTTGTTGCTGTTCTTGTTGGCTGCGCCGCTGTTAAAAGCGGAAGCGACGTCATTTATGTAAATTGTTTGCGTGACATTACCATAGAGAGTCCATATTATGAACCGGTACGCACGCCCCTAGGCATTAAATGCAACACAATTGTTACCAAAGAGGTAGCCCCTTTCTCTCCAGTGTGCTGCCCTCATGGCGGCTGCGCTTTGTAAGCTTCTATGATAGACTCGAGCAGGCAATTTGCCATAAAAACAAAAACAACAGTAAAATTTAAATTTGCATATAGCACGATGTTAACTTTATGTGAATTCACAGAAATGGAAGCTTATATTTATATGCAATTTGTTATGTTATGTTAAGCCACTGTAAAGAAACTAGAAGCACATAGAACTGACAGCTGTAACATTTGCTTGTTTGTCAAATAACTGAAAATGCAA